TGTCAAGGATCTATCTAAACATTGCTTTAGAATATAACCAACGGTCATAACAACCAGTATTATAACATTATTCGCAATCACTTGTTCACCACACATTGTTCTTCTTTGTCCAAAACAATGATTATTAAGATTGATAAGAGAATGATTGATAAGAATGATTTTATTGTCTATAAAAAAAAAAATTACCCATATTTGACCCTCTTATAAGAGGTACTCTGAACGTTTGTTTATTTTAACAGACTTTTCAGAAAAAAAGAATCGTTTTGGTTTAGTTACTCTAGTCTTTATTTTAATATATATAATTGTAACATAATTTTTTTTCTTGTCAAAGTGACTAATATGTTGGACAACATTGAAATAATCTCACCTACACTGTTGGGCAAATATATAATACACAGGTAGAATTTATGATATTTCAGTTCATCCCTTTAAACCCAATATCACCGATTATCAACTGGCGGCAATGGGGTTAGAATTTGGCCCAGCAAGCCGTCCAATCTGGTCTGCGACTGGATTCCAAAATAAATGTCAAATAATAATATTAGACTAAAATGTGATTTGTATTTCATTTATTTAAGGTGTCAATCCAGAAATATTCTGACCCTTTCACAAATACAGTTGGTGACCCCTGACCCCCTTCCAAACAGAACCCTCATATATGCATTTGTTCACTCAGGTGAAAGCAGGTTTCAATGATGTGACTGGATGTTACGAAATCAGAAGTATTCCTGGAATCCGGCGCTACCAGCAGGCCTTCATAAACTATGGATCCCATGATAACCAGCGCCTGTTGCTGGAGTATGGCTTTGTCGCCCCCGGAAATCCCCACAGTGTGGTCTATGTGGATGAAGGTAAAACATTGTGGAAAAAGTTTGTTGAGAGCTCTGTGTAAACATGGTGAACCTGACTCCATGCCCTTTGGCTTTTATGATCACGGTGCTAAGAGAACTTATTGTCAGTAGTAGAAAAAAAATCATTAAAGGAGCAAAAACATTTAAAGATGAGACCCTATCAATAATTGATTACCAACTTTTTTTTTACACTCTAGTGTATGTAGACTAATAATAAAATTAGACCCTATCAGTAATTGATTACCAACTTTTTTTTTATGTAGTCTTACACTCTAGTGTATGTAGACTAATAATTGATCCAATAATATGTGAGATCTTTTTCAGTTTTTCTTTTTCCTGTATTTGTTCCCTCAGATCTTCTCTGTGACATTATGAGAAATGACAAGAGTTTGAAACAGAAGATGAAGTTCCTCAGGGAGAACAACCTCCTCCAGTGAGTCATTCTGTAGTTAATCCAATGTGTTTATTGTCAACACTGAATGTTTGTACAAGCAAACTATTATATTAGTATTATAATGAGTACGTACATATGGACTATGTACATATATGTATATATTTCTTTGTATTCGAGTGAAAGGTCAAATGATAAATAGGTTTTATTTATCATTTCTGATCAGACATAATTTCAGACAAAATTCTACTTGTACTAGTAATGTGTATGTACAATATGTACTGTAGGTACAGTACATACTGTATGTAGAGATACAGGGTGGCGCTGAGGTGCTCTGAGCAAGGCACCGTCCCCACACACTGTTCACTTTGGTGATGGCTTAAAAGCAGAGGTCACATTTGGTTGTGTGCAGTGACAATGACAATGACAAGTACTTCACTTTCCCTCCTAGAGATGAAAGTCATAGGTGGTTGACTGTGTGAAAGTGCGGCACCACAGTGTCCCCTGGTGTTCTGCGACAGCACTGGGTGACAAGTGGAACTTAGGGATGGGAAGAAGAACAAACTATATATATATATATAGTTTATTTAATACTTTGTTTTTCTTGCTTCTCTTTGACTATGACTAATTGAGAAAAGCAATTGAGATTGATTAACGTTCAAAATAATTGACACCAACACTTCATTTAATAGCCAACACTCACCGTGCTTTTCTTTCTCTTAGAAACCTGACAATATCTAGCGATGGTCCCAGCTGGAGATTGATGACGGCACTTAGACTGTTTTCTATGCCACAGACGCTGTAGTAGGTCCCAACATTCATCAAATACACATCACAAAAGAACAAAGTAATTGCAATTGATCTACTAAGGCACATGTGTCAAACTCAAGGCCCGGGGGGGCAAATGCGGCCCAGCAAGTCACTTCGTAAGGCCCGTGGGAGCTTAAAAAGCATTTCATAAAGTCCATGTAGCAGTGTTTCTTAATCTGATAAATTAAAGTTTTTTTTTTATTACGGCAATGAACAATATTTGTAACTTGAATGAATAATAATTAATTGCAGAAACATTTATTAATATGTTATGGACTCGTTAAATCTGTAGTCTTCCATCTACAACCGGCCCTTTAAGGGGAACTGTATGGCTGATATGGCCCCCTGGTGGAAATGAGTTTGACGCCCCGTACTAAGGTGTTTTTTTTTTGTTTTTTTTTTTAAGTCACCAGTGGAAGTCAGTGTTGCTTGGCCAGGCCATTTGTGAAGAAATGGAGGAATGGAGTGTTTCAATGGCCGAGCGGCTCTGTCAGCAAATACTACGTGGCACAACCACATCTCTGTATAAGGTATGTACCTGTACGTGTTTACAATCATCAAAGATGATTTATTCACTCTTTTCTCTGTGACTGTACTTGCCCTAATTCCTTTTCAATTTTCTTTTTGTAAAATTTTCTTGTACAAACACGAGACATAATCCTGTTTTTGTATTTTAGACCGTTGAAAAAGTTAGTAATACGATGTGATTTACAATCGGATTAAGAAAAAAAAAAATCTAATTGCAAATATCTTTTTATGTTTAGATCACCGATCTCCTGCTGCGGTGTGAACCGTCCGTCAGGGAGCAGTTGAATGCGGTCCAGTCGCTGCGTCAGGAGGAGAGGTGCATTCTAACAAGTTGTCTTGAAGTTTTGAAAGGCTTGAGGAGAAGGTCCGAAGAGGCTGCCACTTAAACCCAGTGTTGACTGTGTCAGCTGACATCTGATTGGTTCATTCACCTGCTAGTTGTACGGTGGCTGTCTGTTGGCCGTGCCTGACGTCTGTGTGGTCCGGGCAGTGGCTGGATGACCAGGTCAGGATTGATGAAGTTATGCTGCAATACAGAGCTATAGCTCTTCATCAGTATGGTGGCAGGAATATATGAAATACATATGTTCCGTTGCTTAGTGTCAGGAGAGGCAGAGTGTCAAAGGGGCATTTTAATCAGGGCAAGAGGAAAAATGTGTCAGTAATAATTTAGGCCATGACACAAACCCCAGTGGAATATTGGCCAACTGCAGTACATTTTAGCACTGAGCCTTTTTTCAATAATGTCAAAATAGACTGTATGCAAGAAATTGACCAAGTCCTCCTCTCAGAGACATGACAATGCTGATATGAATGGATTAGGGATTATTTATACTTCTAAATAACTAATTTAGAAATGTAACTGTTGAGTTTTCTCAGCGTGGATGCAGGTGAAGCCGCTCTCACTTTAAGTCAACGATGGAGCATAATAATTTTATCGCTATTACTAAGATGGGCCACAGCCCACACTAGGCTCAGGCGTGCACTCTTAAGTGGTAACTTTGCTACAATCCCAGCAACACTGTCTGTGCACTCCTCATTATAGCCACTGTCAACATCCTGTTTTCACCATTATTTCCAATTGGTCAGTGAGATCATTACCATATAAAACTCAACTTATTGTCACGCAATATGTCTATTTTAAGTCCATCGGTAAAAGTGACAGAACAAAGAGGAAAATTAGAAATGACTGATTCCATTTTTATTTTATTTTTTTTATTTCTTATGAATTGTGAGCCACCTAGTGGCCACTTCTGGTAAGCAGGACTGGCGCTTATCAGTTCTGCTTACAGAACAGAACCATCATCATACATCGATTCTGTCCACAGGTTTTGCGTTTTGTGATTTTTAAAAAGAAAATGAGTAAGCACCCACTTACTTTGTTTAACTCCAACTTAAATTATAAGGCTTTGTTGTTTGGTGATTTTAATAATTGAAAGCTAAAATATAAAACAGTCCTACATATAAACCAAAGCGAAAGCTCTATTTACTTATTTATTAGCTTCTATTTAGCTTTTCGGGTCAATGTAGAGTCATATCTTAGAATTACATTGACTTACTAAGTATAAGAAAATGTCTCAGGTTCAACTTTCTTCCCAAACAGCAGCAACATCGTTATTGTTAATTATGATCAAATTTATACATTTAAGTTATGAGTATAATAAGTGATACTAAATAATAATAATAATAATAATATGCAAAAGAAATCACAATATTCAAAAATGAAATCAGTGAATAATGATCAGTTATCACAGCTGAACAACAGCTTTTTTTCTCTGCTGGCACTGGACGGTCTCCATGGCAACTGTGGCTTGGTAAAGCGGGACCGCCTCTTCAGGCTGAGGTCTGGAGACAAATAAAAGAAAAGTGGGCACAGTGAATCATGCTCAGTTTTAAGAGCTGTCCTTAAGTGTGCAGGTTTGATTTTAAAAAATATATATCTATGTGCATATGTGTATGTAAATATATATATATTTATAGGTACACACAAACATACATATATATACACATATGTGTTCAAAATAGTTCAAAATCATTCAATAGATTAATTGAGTGAGGCAGCGATTGGTCACGTCATGGTTACGTTTTAAATGTCGCGCACTGAACCACACTTGTGAGTATGCCTCTTTTAACCTTGAGTGCACCCTTAGAGGAGCTTTTTGATGTATTGTGTTCAAATATAAGCCTATTAAATATAGTTCTTTACAGCTCCTTTGACACAGATGGTTATTTTTATCATAAAATTTAAGCGTCTAAAACTAAACCAGGTGTCCAACATACGGCCCGTGGGCCAAAACCGGCCCACTAGGGTGTTCAATGCGGCCAGCCAAAATGAGTGTGACACCTCTGCTCTAAACATTTGCATTACAATAGTGCCATGAATAACTGTTACAGTTTAATCTACTTAGTTATTGAACAAATAAAAGATGTTTGTTTGTTGTACAGCCAGTTAAATCCCACTGAGTTCTTAGGTTACCTTAGTACTCCTGTTGACATTTTCTCCACAACGTCCTTCAGAATGTCTGTGTGAAGTCTGTCAAAGGCCATTCAAAATGTCCTCGTGGCTGGTTATCAATATACAACTGCGAGCAAAGATAGGATACGGAGATATCTTCCCTGCAGAGCCGACGACGCCGTCCACATTTCAGGGTTAAGGAAAGACACAGACGCCGATTTTAAATGCAGTATTCTGCAGTCTGGAGGATCGAGCTGGAAATGATTAGGACAAAACATGATTTTAAAAAAAAAAAATAGTGCTCCTTTTTAAATTGAATTTAATGTTGATAACTACTAAGATGAGTTCACCTGCAGGGCCTGGTGGGTTGTGACCCAGTGCCCTCCCACTCCAAGTATGCTGATGATGTCATGTTTGTGTGGAAGCTTTAGTGTCTCTTCTGTTTTATCGTCTTCCAGCAAACGAACTACACACAAAAAAATTAATTAATTAAATTATCTAAAGCAAGGGTGTCAAACATACGGCGCGCTACGGGGTTCAACCTGTCAATGTTATCAAATGATATTTCATTAAATATGAATATTTTCTAATATAGTTGTACTTCTTTGCATGGAAACAAAGGGGAAAAACATGGACTTTTGCTATTTATAGGTAATTACATTATTATTGTACTGGTCCGGGCCACTTGACATCTAATCAGGCTGTGTGTGGCCCCGAACCACAATTGGTTTGACACCCCTGATTTAAAGTTTAATTCAGAATTGTTTACATGATTACAGTATGAACTGTGATTTTTTTTACCTCCAGCGTCCACCAAGATATCCACTCCCAGGCCACCTGTCTCCTCCAACACCTGTGACAGCAGATCTGATGAGCCGTTATAGACTGGAATGACTCTGGCTTCAAAAATGACAATACACATAGCCACGGTTTTAATATCCACCACAAGAGGGCAGCAGGTTTTAGTTTAAAAAAAAAAATGAACTCAATCGCTGCAGGTAATATATCGTTTTTGAGAACCTTTGCTCTTGTAACGCCAACATGTTGCAGACTTCCTCTTAAAGCTGTATCTTGGTTTTATATATATATATATATATATATATATAAATACTACTGATTTGACAACAGAGAAAGAAAAGGAGTTCGAAAGGAAGATGTAAAGGAAAAGGTCTCACCAACCAAAGGGTCCTGGACACCTGAAGAAAATGTGACGGTAAAGGAAAAAACAGAGAGGAAGAAGAGGAAAGGATGCAAGAGGAAAATTGATGGATGCATTTTCAAAAAGGTAAGGCTTTACATTACAGACTATGACGGAACATCCAGCAGTACTGACCGACACTGGGCCGCAACTCCTCCAGGAAAGTGTGCTCCTGTGGGGAATTCGATGTGGTCAAAACCTTGACTCCATGGTAACAGGCCAGCTGGATGCACATTAGGCCCAAGGACTGTTGAAGGAGAAAAGGGCCGCGTCACTCACATTGCATAAGAGTGGGGAAAAAGGAAATGCTGGAAGTGTCTGTCTGTCAACTCGGTAATCCACGTACACTGGCTCCATCCATGACTAAGAGCGTGTGTCCGGCAGCCATGTGAGCAATTGTGTGCAGAGCTGTGTATGCACAGAGGCCGTCACGCAGCGATGCGGCCACACACACCGAGCTGAGTTTCTCTGGTTTTTGAACTACAAAAAAAAAAACAAATAGAGTCACGAACATTTGTTTGTTTATTTAACCATTTTAACCGACCGTGATGTTATAAGGATATAATAGTGTTTCGCTTCAAGTAATGAACTCTCAGTGGTGGCTTAGTGGTTAAGGAAGCAGACTTGGGTCCGGAAGGCTTCAGGTTGGAGTCCACCAGTTGCCAAGTTATTACTGAGGTGCTCTGAGCATAGCACCGTCCCCACACTTTGCTCCCCAGGACGCTTAAAGCTGCCCACTGTTCACTTTGGTGATGGGTTAAAATAATAAATAATTCACTATATGTGAGTGTGTGTGTCACATGTTACCCAGGTAATGTTCTTCTACGTCAATGACATCACAGAGTCCAGACCACGGCGAGTCCAAGGGAAGAATACCTGTG